ATTCATTTTGGCTTTCATCATTCAAAATGACATATCTACCCTTTTATTTACACCTAAATACATAGAGTATACCAACTATATATTTTATAAGCTAATATTACTCTCTATTCTTCTTTTTTTGTCACATGCTAATTTTACTTTAATTGGATATGTATAGCTAAGAAAAAAGAAAACCATTTAAAGACATGTTTTGCCAAATACCTATATACGTAATAATCTACTAAACACAATGTCAAAATTTTCAAATTAAAGGTTTTCTTTTGGTATCATAATTAATAAACTATATTGTCATCTACTCAAAATTAAATTAGGCTTCTCCAGTTTTTTCTCACACCCATTATAAGAATCATCTCAGTTTCTCTCTAGTAAAAGGATCTTAGAGCATCTCCAATGTCCAACTCTGTAATTTCCTTTATTATAGAGGAAATTATAGAGTTGGGCATTGGAGATGGTCTTAAACTGGAGAGGGGTATGTCTCCCTTTCCCAAAACATCTATATGGAATCGAACATCTTGATAATCAGTTAGGGCATCCAGTGATAGAATTCCAAAGACACAAATTTTGAATCTTGTGCCTCAAACCATATATTAAACTCATTAACTTTTTGTGATCGACTATAATTCGTGAAGAACGATAGAAAGCTTAGATGTTTTATTGTTACAAGCTTTTCAGATAAACTAAATGATATCTACAAGAACATATATACATTATATTTTGATTCATATTTGAACCAATCAGTTTTTTTTTTTTTTTTCAGTTTGATCCAAATCAGTTGGATTTTTCTTGATCGATCATCGTTATATACTCATTACTTTATTACTTCTACACACACATACAATAAACAGCTGCAAAACCGTGGCAGCCTAATTAACAAAAAAAAAAGGGTAAAATTGGAAAATAAAGATGAAGAAGAAAAAGAATACATATTGAATAACTCTCCCTTATATAAACACCACGAGCGTGGAAGCCAAAGAGCAATTTTCTCCCCACACCAAAAGAAAGGAAAAAAAAAAAAAAAAAAAACCTCTCTCTCTTATGTCAAAAGATATATGTAATCAATAAACACAAATCATAAATCTTTTTTTTTTTCATTCCCAGAAAGAATGTCTAAATCATCGTATAATAACATCTTTTTCATCATCATCTTGATCTTGGGTTTGGGTTTGAGATCATCATTAGCCTTCACGAATCTCAACAGCTTAAGCTTTGAAGAATCACTTTCTCCTCTCTTTGGAGATGCCAATCTCGTCCGTTCTCCTGATGATCTCTCTGTTCGTCTCCTCCTTGATCGATATACCGGTATATACACCTATACATATATTGACATGGGTTTTATCTTTCTTTTTTCTTAATGATGATGATGATGTCATGATGATGATCGATGATGATTATATTTGTAGGTTCTGGTTTCATATCATCGAATATGTATCAACATGGATTTTACAGCTCCATGATCAAGCTTCCCGCTGATTACACTGCCGGCGTCGTCGTCGCATTTTATGTAAGTCGCCGGCCATTTATTTGTTATGTTTTTTTTGGTTGGATTTATTTGTTATGTTTGATTACAAAAAAATGTTTTTTTCTTTTTCTTTCATCCATCTGCATGAACGTTTAAGTCTTTTATTTATTTAATTATTTGTCGAAAATTTTCATTATTATTCTTGAGAAAACTCATGAATAACCCATTTGATCTAATTCAACATCTTTTTTTTTTTTTGCCGAGAAAATCGTCATTGAAAATGGTTTACCAAACGTTTTGTCGAAGAACGTTTTTCACATTTTCCCTGTTTGGTTGCCTAGAAAATAGTCATTAATATTTCCAAGAAAATAGTTCCTATGTTTCCAAAGAAAAAGAGCACCAATCTTTAAATTCTTGGAATCTAATATTATGTTAAATGGAAAAATAAAATGAATATATTTTGATTTTGCAGACATCAAACGGGGACGTGTTCGAGAAAACACACGACGAATTAGACATAGAGTTTCTAGGGAACATAAAAGGAAAGCCATGGAGGTTTCAGACAAATCTATACGGAAATGGAAGTACACATAGAGGTCGTGAAGAGAGATATCGTCTCTGGTTTGATCCTTCTAAAGAGTTTCATCGTTATAGCATTCTCTGGACTCCTCACAAGATCATGTAAGTTTTTTTCAATCCCATCATTTCTTTTCCTATTTTTTCCGGTTTAGTTGTTTCATTAGCGTTGACCAAACCCGGTTTATCAATATATTAAAATTTGGTGGGACGAAGAAAGAATGTTTGTCTTTCACCGAACGTTTCTTACTTTTTTCCCTAAGATAGTTAATGAATCTATAAATATTCGCTCTTTTTTCTAAAATACAGTTTTCTAATTACTTTTTCACATTTTTAAATTTGATTTAAAATTTTAAAAAAAAATCAATAAGGAGTCAGCTTTTTCAATGCAATTAATTCGTCATTATTGTTAAACATCAGCTTTAGAGTTATCCTTTTTTGACACGTAATCGTGTATTAAGCCTCAGTCGTCACGCGTATTAATTTAAAGCAATCTGACTTTCTATTGACCTTCGTTTTTAAAATTTAAGGATGGAGAAACGTTAATCATAATTTTGTTTGAAAAATAGAATACATAAAGAAATGAGTTAAACTTTAATCAATGAGAATCAACTTAGGCCTCGAGTGGCAATTAAGTACTACTCTATTGAGTATTGAAGATTAATGCATTGCGTAATTAAACTATACATCTATCTTTATTAACTCATTTTAATATTAAAATAAAACATTAGTTAAAATAATCAGCTAAAATTCCCTTTTTCTCGTTAATTTTTGTTCATTATTATTATTTTTTTCATCAACAATTTAGAAATTCTATATAATTTTGGTTTTGTTTATGTTATTTTTGTCATTAACAGCTTAATTAACCTAACTTGTATAACAATTATTACAGATTTTGGGTAGATGATGTGCCAATAAGAGAAGTGATCAGAAACGATGCAATGGGAGCAGATTATCCGGCGAAGCCAATGGCTCTTTACGCCACCATTTGGGATGCTTCCGATTGGGCTACTTCCGGCGGCAAATACAAAGCTAATTACAAATTTGCCCCTTTCGTAGCCGAATTCAAATCTTTCTCTCTTGACGGCTGCTCCGTTGATCCTATCCAAGAAGTTCCCGTGGATTGTTCCGACTCAGTCGATTTCCTTGAGTCTCAAGATTACTCTTCCATTAATGCCCATCAACGAGCTGCCATGCGAAGATTTCGACAACGTTTCATGTACTATTCTTACTGTTACGATACACTTAGGTATCCTGAGCCTCTGCCAGAGTGTGTCATTGTTCCGGCCGAGAAAGATAGGTTTAAGGAAACGGGAAGGTTGAAGTTTGGTGGTACGGAGGCACGTGAACGGCGGAGAAATCGACGGCAGCAACGTCGGCCTGAGATTGAGATTGAGAGTGATCCTGACGACAGAAAACTTTTATAAGATTTGTTTGTGCCATTTTTTTTACTTAAGATTCGTTTGTGAGTAAAAAATAAAATAAATAAAAAGAGTAAAGATTTGAGAAAAAATGAATGAAAACAGAGAAATTTTGAATAAGTTAAGCCCAATTATTCAGGCCATTCGTGGAGACTAGACTCGGCTTCTCAGCCCATATTTGTTCTTCACTGCTTGTAACACAGTACACAGTGTATGGTTTTTCGGTTTGTTTTTTTTTTTTTGGTTTTACGGTTTTTAGTTTTAGAAAAAAAAAAAAATTATATAAAAATCATATGTAATTTGGTTTGGTTATAGTTCGGTTTTTATTGTTGTACGGTTTTTTGGTTTATAAAAATTGAAACTATATAAAAACCATATGTATCTTGGTTCGGTTCGGTTCAGTTTTGATTTGATTCCGATTGTTTTAGGTTATTCTATGTTTTTATAAAAACATAATACTCCCTCCGTTTCGTTTTAATTGACGTTTAAGGTTTTCTCACACAAATTAAGAAAAACATTAAATTTTCTGATTTACCCTTTATTAATATATCTTATAAATTTTTTCATTGGCCAAAACATTAAAACAATAGGGATAATATTGGAATTTTTACCAAACATTTGCATTGAAAACCTAAAACGACAACTATTACGAAACAAAATTTAAGACACTTATCAGAATGCAGATATTTAACAAGTTTATATTGTGATTAGTGTCTTACTCACATGCAAACTCTTTTTTTTTTTAACAAAATGCAAAGTCAACAGAATGATAAAACTCAGGCTTTACAAAAGAGTTAGACCTATTCCTTACTATCTTGCCACAAAAGAAATAAAAAAAAACAAGGTGGCATAAACACATGAAAGTCAAGAAACTCTCATTCTAACCAAAGTTGCATCAGATTTTGAAGCTTTCAACGACTTCTTCGAGCTGTGATTAAGTTACGTATTGTGCGATCTATTTCCCTGAAGATGGTCGACAAAGGGATGACAAGGTTGTGGAGTACGTTGTTGCGTTGCTTCCAAATCGCGTAAACAATAGCATGTCCGACAAGCTTCCTGAGAAGAGAAGGTGATCTTTCAGAAGTACCTTTCAACCAAGATAAAAGTTCTGCCCAAGTAGCAAAGAGACAAAGACCGCAGGCCTCAAGTCAAGTCTTCTAAACGCGGAATGCCAAACTTCCACACTAAAAGAGCAAAATAGCATAAGGTGATCTCTTGTCTCATCTTGAGCATTGCACAGACAACACTCCTTTGGATTATTCATTCCCCATGACACAAGTCGCATCCTTGTGGGCAATCTGTCCAATTGAGCAATCCACATTAAGAAGGTATGTTTGGGAGTGGATCCCTTGAACCACATTGAACTGAACCAATCTTTCTTAGAATCAGATGGTCTAAGCACATACTAAGTCTTTGCAGAGGAGAAGCCCTTACACTTTACACCATCAATGTTATGTACCAACCCTTACACAGTAGTTACACTATGCACTCTTTGTTAAAAAATATTATGACGACAACTTCTGTCAAGGCTAAGAAAAACTTGATTTCTTATAAAGAACAACTTTGATAACTTGATGTTTACAGAGAGAATACAACTTGTATCAAATAGAGAGACCTTTTTAGCTGACTTAGGGAACAAGGGAATGAATCAGATTTCGGCACCTGTAAATTCATCATAGTCTAAAAGACACAGAGCATCAAATTTGTTAACGCTCGCAAAAGCACCGGTGCTCGTGGGTTTACGCTCACGTTCTATGGATGTTGCACCATATTCTGTCTTCATAGCATTAAACGTAAGATCTTCTACATGATCTACAAAGGTGTAAATATCAAACCGTCTTCGGTCATCTCCCAAACCTTGGATTTCAACCCTTTGGAGAGTGTTCCTTTCGGGATTGAAGAAAAAAACATAAAACGGTTCACGTGTACGTTTCCTCGACAAAACAACTTCACCTCTAGCTGTCACTCCAACAACATAATAATTGTCTAATTCAATTAGGACTTCATCCTCCGGCAAAGTGTAAACATATTTCGACCATTTCTGTTTCTCGACATCCTCTAGAACCCACATACATAACTCACGGTTACCCCTATCAACCCAATCAATCCCACCTAATTTACCCTTATAGTTAATCAATGTAGTATCTCGCCCAATGCATTTTGCATCTATAAACTTGAATTTCTCAGACCCAACATCAAAGCAAACTATCACATAAGACTCTTCATCAATCACATAATAATACTCTTCATCAATTTTGCAAGCTAAATAATACCAAACTCCATTGACGCATATCCCTTCACCACAAACCTTATGGGATAAGGGACAACGGATCTTCCTCCACCTCATTTTTCCAGTTCCTAATGTCAAAATATTAATACCCGTTCCATTATAAACTTTATTGTTCATTACCAACACTTTGAATTGCTTGTCGATCGGATCAAATCCAAAAAGGTTAATCCTGTTCACCATCAGTTTAGGTAAGGTCGCATACTTACCCGTGATAGGGTTACATATCATACGCTTTCTATCCATAAAGGTCTCCATAATAGATAAATAGATCAAACCAGAGGTAAGGCCAAGAAAATCTGGCCACCTGGTTTTAGAGAACTTGGTATGATAATCAACGGCTACTACAAGAGACTTCTCATATGGATTCTGTGGCTGAGGCGACGAGCAGAAGCACCAGTCATTGTATCTTTTGAGGACAAAAAAGAGACGTGGACGAGAAGCGGACTTGGTCAAGAACAACTCGGTGAAATCTGGACGGAGAAGCATTGACCTCCATAGCTTCGACACGCAACGACACTTCCCGATTGACTTTGAAGACAATCTCGAGAATATCTCGAGGATGAGATCAATTGGAATAGACTCGAAATTTCCTCCTCTATTCATTGTCGTTGTATTTGCTTACAGAGGAAGATATATACCAAACTCTGAATTATAAGACGATGTGTGACCTAATTAGATGATGTTAAGTAATCTCATCATCTATTCATAGTCGGTGCTAACCTAAGGCCCAGTAAGCATGGGCTTTAAACATCAAAATAGAATGACAAAGACTTAACATTACGGAATAAAACGTTAGTGTGCTTCTAACGTGTAACACAACTAGGACATGAACATGATAACCAAAAAGAACAAAATGCTAAGTCAACAGAATAACAAAAACTCACAAGAAACCTGTAAATGGGAAGTTTCATACGCACTAAACCTGTGAAGATGTGATCCAAATCTTCTGGTTAAGCCAGATGTCGACTTGGTTTAGCTGGTTAAGATGTTGGTTCAAGATTAATGTCGGTTTGGCATTGGTTAAAGAAGGAAGAAATCACAATTGCAATAGGATTAGGAGACTCCGCTTGTCCAAGAGGGTTTTGGTATATCGTTTGTTGCACAATGTTCAAGAAAGCGCTAGGCGCTAAGCGGGCGGTGACCCAGTGCCTAGCGCCTAGAACGCCTAATCGGGACCTAGGCGATTTTTTAGGCGGTTCAGACGTTTATAACATAGCACATTATAAATATGATACTATATATAAAAGTTATAAAAATATTTATATAAAACTAAAAATTATGAAATTATAAACAAAAACTAGATAAAACATTTATTTGTATTTATATTAAACAATGTATGAATATTTATAACAATATATATAAATAAAACTCTAATTAAAATTGAAAAAATACATTAAACAAGATCTATGTAATTTAGGCGGTCAAGGCGGTTATCTAGGCGTCGCATGAGAGCCTAGCGCCTAGTCGGAGCCTAGGCGACCGCCTAGACCGCTTTTTAGAACACTACTTGCAGGCCTATAAATAGCCTTCTTCTTCTTCATTCTTTGTAACAGAAATTTTTCAATCTCTTTCTCTTGTAAAATCTTCTTGAGCTCTGGTTTTGAGCTTGAGGATAGCACTTGATTCATATAGTGGATTGTTGGATTGAATCCGGCCCAAGACGTAGATTTATCATACCGATGATTCGAACTCTTCGATTCTGTTCTTTGAATCTTTGACAATTAGTTTTGTGAGATTTGAGCTAAAGAATCTTGAGATCGAGTAAAGGTTTCGGGTCATCAAAACGTAACAAAACCTTTATTGCAAACTTAAGATTTTGAGCCAGAATACAAAATTGTAAATATATATCTTACAAAAACCTTCAAATAATTTGATATATATATATATATCGAAACGATTTATGACTCTGGTTTTGATTAACTATGTGATATATAAAGGTACCACGAAAAAGGGGATGTGTTCGAGAAACACACGACGAATTAGACATAGAGTTTCTAGGGAACATAAAAGGAATTTAAAGTCAAATAAAATAAAATGTGGATTTGAAATTCAAATAAAATGGAATTTAAAGTCAAATAAAGTGGATTTGAAACCATTCCTACAAAGAACAACTTTGATACCTTGATGTTTACAGAGGAGAATACAACTTGTATAAAATAGAGAGAGCTTTTAGCTTACTTGGGGAGCAAGGGAATGAATCAGGTTTCAGCACCTGTAAATTCATCACAATCTAAAAGACACAGAGCATCAAATTTGTTAACACTCGCAACACCGGTGCTCGTGGGTTTACGCTCCTGTTCTATGGATTTTGCACCATATGATGTCTTCATAATATTAAACGTAAGATCTTCTACATAGTCTACAAAGGTGTAAACATAAATCTCTCTTCCCTCATCTTCAAAACCTTGGATTTCAACACGTTGGAGAGTGTTCTTTTCGGGATTGAAGAAGAAAACATAAAACTGTGACGACCACATATCTGCAAATTTCCTCGACAAAACAACTTCACCTCTAGCCGTCACTCCAGCAACATTATACTTGTATAAATCAATTAGGACTTCATTCTCTGGCAAAGTGTAAACATATTTCGACCATTCTTGTTTCTCGACATCCTCTAAAACCCACATACACAACTCACGGTTACCTCCTTTGACCCAATCAATCCCACCTAATTTACCCTTATAGTTAATCAATCTAGTCTCTCGCCCAATGCATTTTGCATCTATAAACTTGAATTCCTCATACCTAACATCAAAGCAAGCTACCACATAAGACTCTTCATCAGTTTTGTAACCTAAGTAATACAAAACTCCATTGATGCATATCCGTTCAAAACAAACCTCGTGGGTTAAGGGACAACAGATCTTCCTCCACCTCATTTTTCCACTTTCTAATGTCAAAATATCAATAAGCGTTCCATTACAAACTATATTGCTCAAGACCAACACTTTGAATTGCTTGTCGATCGGATCAAACCCAAAAAGGTTGATCGTGTTTTCGTACTTCACCATCAGTTTAGGTAACCTCGCATACTTTCCCGTGATAGGGTTACATATCACACGCACTTCATCCCTATAAATACTCATAGAAGATATATAGATCAAACCAGAGGTAAGGCCAATTAAATCTTGCCAATCGGTTTTAGAGAACTTGGTATGATAATCAGCGGCTACTACAAGAGACTTCTCATATGGATTTTGTGGCTGAGGCGACGAGCAGAAGCACCAGTCATTGTGTCTTTCGAGGACAAAAAAGAGACGTGGACGAGTGGAGGACTTGGTCAACAACAACTCGGTGAAATCTGGACGAAGAAGCATTGACCTCCATAGCTTCGACACGCAACGACACTTCCCGATTGACTTTGAAGACACTCTCGAGAATATGTCGACAATGAGATCATTTGGAATGGGCTCGAAATTTTCTCCTCTATTCATTGTCGTCGTATTTGCTTACAGAGATGTTAGACCTAATTAGATGATGTTAAGTAATCTCATGGAGGGGGAGGTGGATTTGAACCTATTCATAGTCGGTGCTGACCTAAGGCCCAAGAAGCATGGGCTTTTAACATCAAAGGTCATGCACATCAAATGAGAGAGTTTATGTATGAGAGCTATGGACTAACACATCAAATAAGTAATGGTTTCTGTATTCTTTTCATTGGCTTTGATCTTTATGAAGAAGAAACTTTTTAGTGGGGCTGTGTTGTAACTTACAAACTCTTTTGTAAACCATTGAGGTTACCAAATGTCTTCCACTCCCTCTATCGTCAATGAATTGTGCCAAATGTCTCGAAATTCTCCAGCTAAATCATTGAATAATTCAATTGTCTCCAAATAAAGTAGTTTAGTAAGTTAGTAACCATATTTTTTGTTTGAAATACAATTGCTAGGAGCGACAAGAACTGCTGGCAACGCGATATGAGCATGCGCTCCCTCGCAATTGTGATGCTTGCAATGGAGATGGAAAGTGATGAGTTTTGCTATGTAGAGTTTCGGCTTGGTGCTAATTAGTACATGCGTCACTGACCAAACCTTAGCCCATCTTTTCTTCACTGCCTGGATAGATCTAGGTACGTACAAGCTCTCTGTATCATCCAAGTAATTTGATTAAAACAAAGTCAAGGAAAACAAAGATAATGTAATAGAGATCTTAAAAGAACTTTTAAAGACTTATTTTGTGGAAACGGATAAAACTTAACACTATGTAATTCACAACTAGGACATGAACATGATAACCAAAAAGAACAAAATGTTAGGTCAACAGAATGACAAAATCTCACATGAAACCTGTAAATGAGAACTGTCATACTCACATGTAAAATAGCTAGACTCTATGTTGTAATTTGTAAATATTATGAAGACAACTTCAGTCATGGCTATGACTTGATTTTAAAACTTAGTTTCATAAGAATATCAAGAATACTATAATAGAGGTCTACGAAGAACTTTTAAACACTTAAAATTATAGAACAAGGATTTTTACGAAAACGGTTAAAACATTAGTGTGCTCCCAAGTAACGTGTAACACAATTAGGACATGATCATGATAACCAAAAAGAACAGAAGGCCAAGTCAACGGAGTGAAAAAAGCTCACACGAAACCTGTAAATGAGAAGTGTCATATTCACAGGCAATATAGCTAGACTTCTTGTTATAAATATTATGAAGACAACTTCAGCCATGGCCCTGACATGAATTAAAAACTTAATTTCGTAAGAACTTCTTTGATAACTTGATGTTTACAGAGAGAATACAACACTTGTATCAAGTAGAGAGCTTTTAGCTGACTTGGGGAGCAAGGGAAGCAATCAGGTTTCGACACCTATAGATTCATGATCTTCTAAAAGACACAGAGCATCAAATTTGTTAACTCTCTCAAAGTCTCAAACGTACGATGAACTTGTTCTAGTGGGCTTATATAATTTCTTAAAAATCTTCAAATAATTTGATATTTATGGAAACAGTTTGTAGATAAATGAAGGGGGTGTATTGGATAAAGGATTTGGAGTGACTTTTATTAAAATGACAAATCTTACATTATTCAAAAATCTATACTAGTATTTTTGCAACACTTTGGTGACGGGTGGGTAAAAATACTTCCGGGTATATCGGATATCCGACCCGTTTTTAAAATTTCTTCACAAAAAAATTTATTGGGTCGGGTTATATTTAATCCAACTCATACACCGGATATTCCATATTTAATAATTTAGATATTTAGAAGATTTGATTAAGATTTAGAATTATGATTCTCCTATCATATTTGTTTGATTTGTTTTTAACTGTTTTGAATCATCATATAATCCATAAAGTAAAAAAAAAAATCAATTTTTTTTCTGCATATACTGTGATTCGAAATTTTAAAAACGGACATATATTATCCAATTGACGAAAATGTGTGTTCAATGCTATACATCGATTAAAATATTTAGACAATGATTCAAAATCATATCATAAATAAGATCAACATTAATAAATAAATGAGTTTTTTGGCCGGACGGGTTTGGCGGGACGGATTTTTGAATCAACAATAATAAAAAGATTAAAATATCATTAATCCGCCGCTTCCATACGGATTAAATCCTTATTTTTTTTAATACCACCAATATTAGACATATTAAATCAGTCTCATTTAGAAAAGATTGTATAAAACCAAAAATTATCCTGTGGTATAATGTTACTTAATAACAATATTTATAAAATTTTAAAATATCATTAACGTGCCGCTTTAATATATATAAAATCTTCAGTTTATTAAAATATAAATGTCTTAGAGAATGATATGATTTGTAAACTTTTATATAATAAATAATCATTAAATTTTAAAATAAAAACAAATCATGGGACAGGTTAAGAAATTATGGAACGGATTATATTTTGTAACGGGTTTATATGGCGGACGAATTTGAATCAATATTTATATACCGCTTTAATACGGGTTAAATCCTCAGTTTATTAATAATTGTCTCGTGGACTCGTGGTATACCGCTACTTAATAACAATTGTAAACTATAATGTAAATAAATATTTTATAAGAAGATACAATTTACAAAATATTTTTATACTAACTTTAAAAATAAATCATCCCGCGGTGTACCGCGGGTTAAAATCTAGTAAGTTTAAAAAGTTTTCTAAAAACAAGTGTTATTGGATTAGTGATTTGAAGTGATTTGAATGACTTTAGGAGAGATTTCAGAGAATTTTCTAGTTAAAAATACAAAGATACAAATCTCATTGTTTTAGGTGAGATTGGAGAGAATTTTAATTACAAATTTTCTCATTCACCAAAATTCATCAAAATCATCTCAAATAACTCTAAATTCATATTTTGTCTTAAAAATTATTTTTCATTGTTGGGCTTTAAACACATAAATCCTTGATGGAGTGATCAAACTGATCATTAGAGGCTTTAGCCCATGTGCTACAACGGATTTTTTTGTTAAACAATAGATTTATACTGTATATATTTATGTTTAGGCTTTAATGCAAGCTTAAGATATTGAGCAATATTTTAAATATATTTATTTACAAAAATCTTCAAAATAATTTAATAGTTTTCGAAACAATTTGTAAATAAATGAATGGTTGTGATTAACTATGTGATGTGTATAAACGTACCAGTACCACAATGATATGATATGATGCGCTATTGCGGACTTTTGGTGGAAGAAGAGAGCGAACAGTAAAGGGATCCATTGGATTGTCTGGAAAAAGCTTTACCAAATTTTCGGAAGAGGTCTAGGCTTCAAAACATTAGAGGAATTTAACGTGGCTCTACTTGCAAAACAATTACTGTGTCTATTCAAATTCTAGAATTTCCTGCTCAGTCGTGTCGTTCGGGGAAGATACTATCGCTATAGTGATCCTTCAGATACAAAAATCTATTGAACCCTCATACGGGTGGCGAAGCATTATGGCGGCAAAAACTCTATTAACCTCGGGTATGAGTTTAGGGCCGGGATGAATACCAGAGTTTGGTTGGATCCCTAGATTCCCGACATTCTGGCTCGTCTTGCCAAAGGCAAGACAACCGAGAGAGATCCACATCTCTATGTAACCATTTGATTGATCCTGTTTCAAAACAATGGAATCTTGATACACTTCATGCCTTGATCGACCCCACGGATATCCCTCTCATTCTAGGTATTCATCCAAACCGCTCTTATTTGAGTAATGGATATAGTTGGAATGGTACAAAATCTGGTAATTACTCTGTTAAGTCAGGGTATTGGGCTGTGCGGAAACTTTCTCTCCCTACTTGTGATCACCTTTTTCAGGGATCGGGATCACTCCCCTTTTGCCACAAGTACGGAAGCTAAAAACTATAGGAAAAGTTAAGCATTTTGTGTGGCAATGTTTATCACGTTGTTTGGCAACAAACCATACACTATTCTACCGACACATCGGTAAGGAGAAGCACTGCCCTAATTGTGGTGCAGAGGAGGAGACCATTAATCACCTCCTCATTGAATGCCCACCAGCGCTTCAAACTTGGGCCCTCTCACCGATCCCATCGTTGCCTTCCTCCTTTCCTAGTCAGTCCCTATTCTCCAATTTGGACTTTCTATTTTGGAAAGTGAAAGGGATGATGAATGGAGAAGAAATTGGGCATATTTTCCCATGGATACTATGGTATCTATGGAAAGCTCGAAATAGCTTTATATTTGAAAATATTCGGGAATCTCCTTAAGACACGCTAGAGCATGCCATTCAAGTGGCGACTGCATGAAAGGTGGCAAATAGTAAAGATGATCTCCCCGTTGAAAGCATAGATTCAGTACATGTTTCTATAAAGTCGGGAGCTACTCAACCATGATGTCAAGTTGATGGATTTTGGCATGTAATTAACTGACCCCTCAGTGGACATGGGTGGATTGTTATGGACGTAGAAACTCCTATCTTTATGGGAATGAAGAGTTTTCGTCGGGGATTATCCCCTCGGCAAGCAAAATTCGAAACTCTGCTTTGGGCAATGGAATGTCTTATCTCAGACTCGAAGACGAATTTTGGCTTCGCCTCAGATTGTTCTGAACTAATTTATATTTTAGATTATCCATCTGAATGACCTACGTTTGCAGTAGAATTACAACATTTTAAACTTTTGAAGCTCTCTTTCCCTTTGTTTTATATTAGGTTTATTCCGCGTAGTAACAATGTTTGCGCCGATTGTCTAGCAAAAAAAAAGCAAGAGCACGAGGTTCTTTATTCTTCCATGTAAGTACATCGACTCCGGATTGACTCTCTATAGAGGAAAGCCTCCATCCGATAACTTAATAAAATAGTGTTCGACGAAAAAAAAAAAAAAAAAAAAAAAGATGTTCACGTCAATAAAATATAGAATTTCAGTTTTGTGATGGTTGGTTGTATTGTATGTCTTTCTTGAGAGAGATATATGAATTAAAATCACACTCTAATATATGTAGGATATAGGTTTAGGTTTAGGGTTTATTTATAGAAAGAAAAAAAAATTAAAATCATAAATCATACTCCTAATTTAAAATTAGGGTTTATTTATAATCACACTCTAATATATGTACTCCTATTTTTATGCAGAATGGCGCCCAAAAACAGAGCTCTCTGTCTATATAAACTCTACAACTGATTTTTGTATTCATTACCGTGGGGGAAGATATTATTGAGCTGAATATTTTTTTATAAGAAGGTACATACGATTCTCTCCAAAATTTCTGTCTATCCAACTAAAGGACATGAGCGCATAGATGAAATGCCCCATTGCTTTCACCTTTCCATTCTCTTCTTATATTGTTTATCACTCCAATGATCGTCTCTATCTCTCCGCTCATAGCGGCGTCTTCTTCTTCTTATTCTTCTTTCTTCATCTTCCCTATTGTCTCTTTCATTTCTTCTCTCTTTGTGTATCTCTCTACTCACACCATCATCATACCTCTTATCCTTGTCCCTTTCTCTTACTTCTTCCCAATGTTGTGGTTTTGGCCTTTTCATAATGATATTTAGGCTACGCTTGTTCTTCAGAGATGGAGCATAGATGCTTGAATTGAGTTGTTTTGCATCGTTAACACTAAGATCCTCTACATAATCTACAGTGGTATAAACACTGCAATGAGGCCGAGACGCTTCATGAATATCTCCAAAACCTTGGATTTCAACGTTTTGGAGAGTGTTCCTTCCGGGATTGTAGTATAAAACATAAAACGGTTTACATGTAGATTTCCACCTTGAAAATACAATTTCACCTGCAGCAGTCACTCCATCAAGTCTAAGGTCGAGATCATGGGCTTTATTAATCTCCGGAAAAGTGTAGACATATTTTGACCATTCATGTTTCTCATCCTCTAGAACCCACATACTCAACTCAATGGCATAAGCATCATCATACTTCCAATTAATAACACCGAATTTACCCTTATAGTTTATCAATGTAGTAGACCAATCATCAAAAACGCAGTTTGCATCAACAAACTTGACTTTTTCAGACCTAACATCAAAGCAAACTAGCAAGTGAGTTTTATCATCAGACGTTATATCAAATTTGTAAGCTAAGTAATACAAAACCCCATTGATGCATATCCCTTCACAACTAAAACCATGGATTAAGGGACATTGGATCTTCCTCCACCTCATTTTTCCAGTTCCTAATGTCAAAATATAGTGATCATTATAAGCTATATGTTTCCTGATCAACACTTTGTATTGGCTGTCAATCGGATCAAACCCAAAAAAGCTCATTGTCGAGTTTCTGATCAGGTTAGGTAAGATCGCATACTTTCCCGTGATAGGGTTACATATCACTTGCACGACCTTTTCTGAGATCCACATATTAGAAATATAGATCAAACCACCAGAACAAACATAGCTGTTTATGTTTCCGAGGAACTTCATATGAAAAGTTGCAGCTACTACATGAGACGACTTATCATATCGATTCTGAGGCTGAGGGGACGAGAAGACGAGCCACTCATTGCCTCGTTCGACCGTAAATAAGAGACGTGGACGAGTGGAGGACTTGGTCAAGAACAACTCGGTGAAATATGGACGGTAAAGCATGGACCCCCATAGCTTCGAAAGGGTACGAAACCTAGCGACTGACTTTGCCGGCAATCTCGAGAAAATCTCCATAATGAGATCAGTTGGGATGGATTCCAAATTTTCTCCTCTTTTCATAGCTTTCGAAGAACGTTTATTGCCTTGGAAAATCGTTGGCTTGTGTTATAAGCAAGCGTGTTCGAATTGATTTACACGCTTAAATAAGGTTAAATAAGGTTTCATCTTCAACCTTATCTTTTCTTCCCCATTTAATTAGTAAATTTACATTATTATTTTTTGTCAGCATTAGTAATTTTACATTGTTTATTTAGTTTCCATTTTTTTAACATGCAATTATTTATTTCCAATTTAATTTAGAGAAGTTTTACAGAAAAATTATTTGAAAAGTCAAATTAAAGAGAGAAAAATGAAGCTCACGAATATCTCTTTTTCAGAAGAGAAAAAATTGACTAATTAGAACTTGATATGAAAATTAAAATTTTAAAACCAAAAATGGTCGAGACACAATATTTTTTATGGATAAAATACAAGTTTAATCCATCACTGTTAGCCCGTAAGGCTTTTGATAGCAGAGTTACTCTCCACTCTTTCATCGAAATTGTTTCAATTTCCTATATTTGCGTACAATGGTTGTTTTGTATCTATTCTGTATCTTGTAAACTTTTATGATATCAATATATTTGATTTGCCGAAAAAAAAAAAAAAAAAAAAAAGAAAAAAAAAAAAAATCCATCACTATAAGCTTTGTTAAATGTTAATTAGTTTGATGGGAAGTTTTGACGTCAAAACTTGAGTAAGAAACACCTCTCGATTGGGCTTTGTGACCATCTAACAAACAAATTCAAAATTTGATCATAAAAATCGAACAAAACAAGAACTACAATCTTAAGTCTTAACAAATAAAACCATCCAAAACCAAATCTTAATAGATGAAACCAAAATCAACATAAAAAGAAACAACAATGGTAATGTCTGTTAATTTTTAAATGAATGCTATGTTTCTTATATCACCACTCTGTTTGAGTTCCCACCAGCACTAGCTATAACATATATTTACATTCTCCTACCTATGGGATGCTTCTAAGCCAACATAAACCATCCTCCATCAATCTCCGAATTCTTAATGGTAATATAGAGAAGAGATAAGCAAATAGCGATAAGTCCTGACCAAACATACACAATTGTCGGTGTTCTTCCTCCTCTTCCCATCAAACCTTTCGCAAACGGATACATATGAAGCAAAACCCAACTGGCAAAGAATGTCCCTCCAAGAAGATTACTCCACTGTGGATTCTCGCTGAAAACCGTCCTACAAACCGCGAAAAGTATCGCTACGATGTTCAAGATTATGATTGTTAACGGTGGAATCATCAGAGCAGTCCATTTAAAGAGATAAAGATCAGCGAACTCGTCGTCTTCGTCATCTCCTCCTGTTGAAGATTTTGCAGTCAAGGTGAATGAGATTTCGATTCCGGCGATAACTTTGAGTATACCTTGAAGTACCGCGACTAAATGTGCGCTCGTGCCGCCTATTAACCAGAACTGCTCGTTTCTCCACCATTCTTCTAATGAGATACCTGACCATTTGACTTCAAGAACAGCTAATCCACAGAGAGACAATGTGATTATCAAAAGGTAAATGAGGAATGATCCGGTGAGGGTTTCAACAACGAAGTGACCGGAGAAGAGAGATAACGGCGGGAGGAAGCAGTAGGTTAAGATGAAAATGCTTGTGAATGGGTAGATTCCGACGTTGAGGTAAGCGATCCTCTGGAGCAATTTGAGTTTTGGACCGGCGAATATGGCGTTGTTTCGGGAGAAGAAGATCTCTACTGATCCTGTGGCCCATCGTAGAACCTGGTGGAGCCGATCAGTTAGGTTTATCGGTGCGGTTCCGCGGAATGCGTCTGGCTCTGTTACGCAGTAGAATGATCTCCATCCTTTTTCATGCATTCGAAAACCGGTCACTACGTCTTCAGTTACGGAACCATATATCCATCCAACGTTGAATCCCCATTCCGTCTTGTCTTCGTACCAGCATGAGATCACGTTAACAGCCTCGTTTACAGTCGCGAAATCAAGCGGTTCGCGGCTTCCAGTCAAAGAGCCAGGAGGGCGTCCACGCCGGCTTGAGTAAACTGTAGCTAGTGGCCTACCTTGAAACTCTGCGACCTTTACCGAACTCACTAGCATACTCGAGCTACCGAATTGCTTCCGAATCAAACCAATATCAAAGCGATCTTCATCCTCATCGTCAATGTAGTGCTCTGGTTCAGAAGCTACGGTTGCACGACTGCGTTTCTTGATCCGTGGGAAACAGCAGTCGCAGCAACCAGACTGTACCTCCTCCACCACAAAAACATCAGGCGGGTTGAAACCGTAAAGTGCGGTTCGACGGAAGAGACACCCCGTCCCAACATACATCGGACCTTGGATCCCATCGAGAGCCCGCAGATTAATGTCGAAAAAAACAGTATTGTTGTTAGCATAGCGGTCAGACGGATCAATTCCTTCAAACCTCTGCGGAAACTGAACATAGGAAACATGGTCGCCGTCATGGTCCATCATGAAACAGATCCCATCTCTAAAAGCTCTAGAGTTATAGACATAGTGGTCACAATCCAAGTTCAAGATGAACGGTCCATTTGACATTATAGCCGAGGCTCGAACCAAAGCGTTCATAGCTCCTGCCTTCTTATTATGGTCATAACCAGGCCGTTTCTCACGGCTCACGTAAACAAGCATAGGTAATCGCATGTCTACTCCTTCAAAATCCAGCGCGCGCCCCTCACCGCCTTTCCCTTCAACCGGTTCATCTCCGGGAGGATCAAGCAACACCTACAAATAAATCACAGAGTCAAACACAAACACTATAACGAATCAATTGGAGATCAAACCGTGCGTATAAATTACCTGTATAATACTAACGTGATCGCCTCTCGAATGGTGCGGACAAGGGACAGCCCAAGTACCGGGCCAATGAGTTCCATCACTCATCCAAGTAGCTTTAGGAGCTACTAAAGCAGGCCTTGGTTCCTTAACTTGATCCTCTTCAACTTTCACCTTCCAATGCTTCCATTTCTCTAAAGCTTTAATCTCTTCTTTGCTATTATACGCATCTGATCTCCTTCTAATCGAATGAGGCAGCGCGTTAACCCGAACTTTAAACTCCTCATAACCTCGTTTCACATACCGTCGCTCTCGAACAAAATCATGTCTCACCTTATCCTTATAAGGATCCCTCTTCAAACCAAAGTAACTCTCCGGATTCCTCGGCTCGATCCTATGTTTCCTGCAAAACGGAACCCATATTTTGGCAAAGCTAGCCGCTTCAGCCATTGCTTCAAATGTAACAAGCGATCCGCCATCATCTGAGATATAACAAGAGAGCTTCTCAACAGGATAATCAACCGATAAAATCGAAAGAATTGTATTGGCTGTGACTAATGGAGGCTCCTTCTCTGCATCAGCCGTTGAAACAAACACATCAATTCCCGGAAGATCTGATTTCACGGTCAGGTTATTCGGGTCTGGTGATTCGAATGTCGCCTTTAAGGCTTCAATATCGGTTGCGTGGTTAACAGGAAACAACTTAGGGATTTGGTCGAGTAACCAAGAGAAAGCAAACCAGATTTCACAGATTACAGAGAGTAACCATAACCATATTGCTTTATTGTTTGGGTTTCTGATTCTCCAGAAGAGAAACAGAACAAGAGATACTACTCGAACAACTATCAGAATCCTGTAATAAAAAAAAAACCAAAATCAATGTTCGAAAACATCCTTAAAAGATCATGTTTTATGTCACATCAAAGTGTTTGTAACTGACACGACAGAGATTTTTAAAGATATAATATTATTATTACCGATAAAGAGCGATGATGATCGGAGAGATTTTGACGATACGAGTTAGAGGATGAGATATCTTGTAAAGCAAGGTATCATCTTCTTCTTCTTCTTCACTGATTCTCACATCGGTTAGATCCGGTTCGTTGTCTTTTCTAGATGAACCGGAATCGATGTCCCCGGGAGCGGATGGAACCAGAACCGAGGCCGGATTGAAATCGAATTCCCGGAGAACGATTGAAACCTGCGCCGGATTGTTGTCCGGCGTCGGAGGGATATGGACGATGTAACTGGTGTGATCGGAGCTGCATCCGAAATCACTGCCGGAATTTGACACGTGGCTGATTCTGGGAAGTCTTATAGGAGATTCTCCGTACATCATTTTAATAAATCTCTACTTTTCCGTCGCCGGAATCTGGAGAAATGAGACGGAGCAAAAAAAAAACGGCACTTGAGTAAAAAAGATTATTTTGAGGATCAAAGTTTCGATTTTTAATGAAAAAATTTGTGTGAAAAAATTAATTGGGAATCAAATCCAAAAGAAACTCTTACCCTTTTTAATCAAAATCAGAATCAGTGATGAGATTTTCAAAATGTTACTTTCTGCTCTGTTTTTTTGCCATTTACCATAAACGCAAAATTCAGAAATTTCTTTAGAACAAAACGAAGCCCAGAAGCAGATTCTCTGGGAAATTTTGAAGATTTTGATTAAATTCGAAAACTTTATGAATTGGAGTGTTGTGTATGGTTATGGGTTTAATGTGATTGAGGTTTTCTACAAAATCATATTAAATGGTCAACAAATTGGTGTTAGAGGAGATTTTGTTTCCTTAATCGTAAATATAATTTGTGAAATTAGTATTAATTAAAATGTGTTGAACAGCTATTAATGCTGCAGCAAGAGACGAAGAAGTGTGTACAACAAGGGGTGGTAGAAATGGGGAATTCGAATAATTATAGAGGGTATTTTCGGAATTTGGTAACTTTTATTGCTGATTCATGATCTTGTCCAGTCGCTGACTCGGAAAGGGGAAAGATTAGGACTAAATATGGAGACAATTAAAGCTAATTGGGCGTAATTTTGTAATTAAATAAAACATTGAATTTAAATTTACATAATTAATCAATTTTGTATTGTTTTTTTCGTTGAAAATTTAATTATATAGATCCTTTTCTAAATTGTAATAAATTATTCAATATATTGTTTGAAAAGTATTTTAATTATATTTTAGTTAAATAAGACTTCAAAATATTTTTCTACACATGTAAATAAACAACACTATAGTCAAAGTAACTTTATCAATAAAGAAGATAATAATTGAACAATCAACATACTAAGTTTTTTTTATAAGTTTTAAGAGAGTCATGAGGAATCTTGTTTACTGTGATAAAACACGGTTCGGTACAAACTTTTCGTAGCAGATTATCCACTTTAACATTTGCACAATAAGAAATCAGAGATAAATAAAAACTTGAGAATTCTTCCTTGTCGTTCTGAAATTCCTCCAAATACATTGAAAATATAGGCCATTCGGTTGGGGAAGACATCATCTTCACCAGTTCTGAACAGTTTGTAAAAAAAATTAAATCTTGGTTGTCGACACCAATCATGCAGTTCATCGCCCAGAGAAGAACTTCGACTTCTGCATGTAATGGAGTGAGACTTCTACGGAGGTTGGCAGCTCTCATGGTTGGTGGATCTCTATTTGAAGATTTATAGAACCATCATCTATACGAAGCAACGATATCCGGAATATGTAGTATCTTGTGACAATATGCCTCACTCGAGATTGCTTTTCCAAATCCAATGAACCATGGTTTTCAGCATGAAGCTCGACTTGACCTAACTGCTATGATTGTGCCTCATTTTCCGCTAAACGTAATACCTCTAAAAGATCTTTATCCACATTTTCGAAAATCTTTTCAGTCTTTATAAAAGTGTAATAAGTTTTACTCGTTAATCGATAAATTTGTTATTTTCTTTATTTTTATTTATTTTTAAAATATATTCGTCGCGAACCAAAGCGTATTTGTTCTTAATATCGAAGAGGAAGAACGCATTCAAGAACAAATCTCTTTATTAATCTACGTGAGATGCATAAACTGTCGAACATTCTTATCACATAGTCTTCCATCTTCATTTTCTTACTCTAGTGAGTATCCTCCATGGTCAAAAGATCATCCATCAATCTCATCCATCAACACACCTTTTCTCTTGTGATCTTTCCAAAAAAATTTGGAACTTTTTCGTCTGTATTCTTTATCTAGGATTCTAGATATAGGATTCGCAATTCACAAGCGAAAAATTCATATCTTTCAAAAGTTATCAAAACTAGTTGTTTTGATTGGTGCACAAAAAAAAAAAGTTGTTCTGATTCTATAGACTCCGTATCATCATCTCTGAATTGCTTTCGATTCTTATAGACTCTATAGCATCAACTTCACTTTGGTTGTTTTGATTCAGTGAATCCATCTACTCAGAATTAAAAGTAAGAAGTAAAGAATGTTTAAAATGAAATTCACTAACCTTAATGGATTAGCTTTCCCATTTTATCATTTTCCATATCCCCATAACGCTAAAACCCCTTTTTGAGAGAATTCATATGCATAATGAATTAAATTTATTCACCTAACCCTCGAGTTTATGGTGTATTCAAATAGTTGACCCACAAATTTAAGTTTATGCTAAATCCTCCCTTGTACTAATTAATTGACGGAAAAATGTATCACTAAAAGTTTGTACTCCCTCCGTTTCAGTTTAGTTGTCGTTTTGGGATTTAAATTTTGTTTTATAATAATTGTCGTTTTAGGTTTTCAATGCAAATGTTTGGTGAAAATTCCAGTTTTATCCCTACAGTTTTAATGTTTTGGCCAATGAAATTTTTTATAAAATATATTAATAAAGAGTAAAACAGAAAATTTAATGTTTTCTTAATTTGTGTGAAAAAACCTTAAACGACAACTAAAACGAAACGGAGGGAGTAACGTCTTTTTTTCTGCCAAAAGCTAAGTATGACGCACTAATTTTTACTTTTTTTGAACTATATATTTTGACGAGTATATAATTTTTATAACCCTTTTAATTACACCTTGAAAATATTTATTATATGTATTTATTAAAAATGTATCACTAAAACCAAATATTTATTATATGTATCTATACTAGTATTTTTGCGACACTTTGGTGACGGGTGGGTAAAAATGCTTCCAGGTATATCGGATACCCGACCCGTTTTTAAATTTCCTTCACAAAAAATTTGTTGGGTCGGGTTATATTTAACCCAACTCATACACCGGATATTCCATATTTAATAATTTTGATATTTAAAAGATTTAATTAAGATTTATAATTCTGATTCTCCTATCATTTTTGTTTGATTTGTTTTTAACTGTTTTGAATCATCATATAATACATAAAGTAAAAAAAAAATCAATTTTTTTTCTGCATATACTGTGATTCGAAATTTTTAAAACGGACATATATTATCCAATTGACGAAAATGTGTGTTCAACGTTCTACATCGATTAAAATATTTAGACAATGATTCAGAATCATATCATAAATAAGAACATTAATAAAATAAATGAGTTTTTTTTGCCGGACGGATTTGGCGGGACGGGTTTTTGAATCAACCATAATAAAAAGATTAAAATATCATTAATCCGCTGCTTCAATACGGATTAAATCCTTTTTTTTAATACCACAAATATTAGACATATTAAATCAGTCTCATTTAGAAAAGATTGTATAAAATCAAAAATTGTCCCGTGGTATAATGTCCCGTGGTCTTAGAGGATGATATGATTTGTAAACTTTTATATATAATAAATAATCATTAAATTTTAAAATAAAAACAAATCAGGGGACGGGTTAAGAAATTACGGAACATGTTATATTTCGGAAAAGATTTATATGGCGGACGAATTTGAATCAATATTTATATACCGCTTTAATACGGGTTAAATCCTCCGTATATTAATAATTGTCTCGTGAACTCGTGGTATACCGTTACTTAATAATAATAATAAACTATAATATAAATAAATATTTTATAAGGAGATACAATTTACAAAATATTTTTATACTAATTTTAAAATTAAATTATTCTGCGGTGTACTGCGGGTTAAAATCTAGTTAGTTATTAATTAGTTAATGCAGTAGGCATGCATCAATTCGTTAAAAACTTGAAACAGTTTTTTTCTTTTTCTTTTAAGGCAAATCAAATACTTTCATTTCACCAAGAGTTTACAAAGTATAGAATCTAATACAATACAACTGTTATAAGCAAATACTTTGAACAGTTTATTTTGTTAAGTTCCCATTTGATTTTTCAAAATATATTTTTAGTCATACAAAGGAAAATTGAAAAGTATATGGTTTGGTAGAAGCAAATAATAAAAGAGTGTCACTTAAATGGAAAAAATATTTTACATTTCATACTTATTTCTCGAAAAGGATATACATGTTAGGTTTGACTTTGAAATTATAAACACTTGGATATTTCTTCTTTTGAATTTGTAAACAGTTGTATTGGTATATTTTCTCAACGAGATAGAACGTTTAATTTTAACGAGTCAAAAGATTAGTATGCTTATCAGAACCTTACTTGTTAATCAAAAATTATACTAAACAAAAGACTGTTGAGAAATTTTCGTTTTAACTAAAAATTTCAAGAGAAACAAACAGTTTTTCATTTGGTCTTTGTATGTTTTTAATTCTTTATGTTTAGTTATTAATTATTATAACTTGTAATGGGCCATACCAAACCAAACAAGCTAATAAGACGAAACAAATCTTGCACGAAATGTGGTCCAAAACATAGTATGGATAAGGCCAACTAGGCATTTTTTAATCTTTAAAAAACTAAGTCCTTTTTTTTAATTAACCAGAAAAAAAAAAAGTGAAGTGCCATTCGCATGAACTTTTCTCGAGATAGCTTCTAACTAGTTCTTCCTAATTGTACAATTGTTTCACGGAATGTACTATGTACATATCAAATTAATAAGCATTTTATATGGAGTACGTATGATCCCTTGTTTTAATATAAAGTTTAGCTGAGTTCTTAGAGGGTTTTTTTTTTTGTTGGTTCAAAGGTTAGATGTGTTTTGAATCTCAATGCTCTTAAACTTAGAAAAGGCTTTGAAATTTTGGTGCATAAATTTGTTTTAAATTTAAGCAGGGTTCGCCTTCATTGACGAAGTGCAATGTGTTACTTGAAATGGTAGATTATAGTGTGGATTCTATAAAATCTAAAATAGAAATTCAATTTTTAATACATTTTGTTAACTAAAATAACTTTAAATTAATATAAAATAATTTTAAATTAATATAAAATTTATATAATAATACAAAAGATTAAATATATAATTATATTAATAGGCCCCTTATTTATGTTTTGTATTTGGCTCCCGTTTTCTCAGACCGTCCTGTATAGCATTTAAGTCTCTAAATTTAGATGAGAATTCTTACAGTTTAAGTCTTGGAGTATAACTATAGAAATATATACACGTCGAATATATTGTTTGGTATGGACCGTATGGTCAAGTCAAAAAGGCTAAGGACCGCATTGAGATTCAAATCAAACAAAACAATAAATTTAACATTTTATATTAAAAAAAACACTAAACAAAAAATTCAATGATATCAAGGTTTTCTAAAATATTTTTCATCAATGCAAATTTAAAAAGGGTAATGATTCATTCAGACTCTTAACCATACAATACAACTATTCTTCATGTTTTATGTTTTTTCAAAACAATCATTTAAGAAATTTTTTAAAAACAAATCTTCACGGAAAAGTTTGTGTAAGTAAATCACTCACTAATATACTGTACTACAGTAGTGGATCAGATTGATTTGGGCCAACTTTAGAATCTTAGCATAACTACGGCCCAATTCAGCAGTTCAAGCTGAGTAGTTAGTAGAGTGTTATGTAAAAGTAAAACCATTTGCATTAACATTAAAGGTAGCTAAATATCCGTAATCCGAATAGTTAACACAATTAAACAACTAATCGATATTTGAGCTCGAGATCCTTGAGCCACATTAAACTTGATTTGGTTCAAGATTCAAGATTTAATATTTTTTTCATATTGTATAGATTCTTGGAATGATAGATGAACTTTTCGCCTCAAATCTCAGTCTCTTCCAATGAATCTCCTAATGTTTTACCAAATCTTTTGAACAAAATCTATACAAAAATATCAAAATACCAATATTACCCTTCACTCTTAGCCACCGTAGTAGTTCCTGTTCCTCTCCTCTCCCCCTCTTTCCTCCTCCCTCCGCCGCAGCAACACAACCAGCTAAAACAACCGGGACAGCAACAACTACTCCAACAACACTCGGTCTCGGGGCATTTTAAACATTTCCAACAAGAGCATTTCGGACATTCTGGCTTCCCAAAGCAGCTGCTGCATTTGAACTTGGGACAGCAACATCTACTAAAACAGCTCGGTTTCTTGTAGCAAGAGAAACATCCCTTCAACGACGGACATGAACACTTGAAACAACCGCATTTGCTGCAACCGCAATCACAACTGCAGCTAGGTTTGGGACACCGAGGTTTGGGACACCGAGGTTTGGGACAACTGCAGCTAGGTCTGCACAGTCCGGAACTACAACATCCTGTGGATTCATCTCGCCGACGGATTTCTTGCCAAATCTTTTTGAGACGAGACTTAGTGGTTGTATTTTCCATGTCTTGTATAAACCGGTAGAGATGTCTAATGTAGTCCGGATATATCTCAAGGTTGCAATGTCCACCGCCTTTAATCCAGAGCGGTTCATACGGTTCCTTCGCCATTTTCCAAAGCCTGTTTCCGTGTAACCAATTCACCACATCATCTTCTGTTCCCTGCGTAACAATAGTACGATCAGTAAACTTTTACGGATGCAAATAGGGTCGAGGCCGAATGATATGGACATGTTACAGTTGACTTACATGAATGACAAGAACTGGGCATTTCACCTTCTTGATCTTGTTTACGTTCTGCGATTAAACAGCAAGAATCAGTAAGAGGATAGTGTTAGAACCCCAAGACCGCTTAGCTTCCACATTAGCCATAGCCACTTCTAAACCAGTAAGCTTCCACATTAGCCATAGCCACTTCTAATATCTATCGACAAGTAAAACGCGGCTCCAAAAGAAACTGTTCTTATTTAACTAGATTTGCATGATATGGTCATTCTCACTCCCTAAATCGGGAACACTAAGCACTTAAATCGACAAAGACAAAAAGCAGTGAAGGGTATTCTTACCGAATAAATGTCACAACAAAACTTGAACTTGACATGACATAGAACCCGAAGACCAGAGAGAATGCCACTATGAAGAACCACACCTCTAAGCCGGGGAAGCTTAGAGGCAAGGTGCAGCGTCGGTCCGCTGCCAACAGATTGACCATACAAGATCAAATCTTCTTGGCCGACCCCATAATCCGTCTGCAAACACTCATAAACCGCCTCTATATCCGCATATGTATCGTACTCACTTGGCTACAAACGCAAATTATAAACCACAGTTAGTCAAATGAAAACCAGAGAAAATATTCAATCTGATCAACCTAAAAACTCAAGATATCGCCTGATCAATCAAATCATGGGACATTCCTAGACTATATGACTATGAGATAGATACAGAACATTCCAACAACCTAGGAAAAGATTTCTAGGTAACATTTGCAATACAAATTGAGTTGGGCTTAAATCTATTAAGCATTTAACTAGAGGAGACGCATTTTGACACACCTTACCAGTAGAAGCTCCATAGCCTGAATAATCATACCTGAAAATCAAAACAAAAATAACCAAAAAACAAAAAAAAAAATCAAAACTCAAGCAGCAAAACTATAAATGAACCCTCATAAATCGACTGACCTATATTGATTATTACAATGAAAGGTAACACCTTATATTATCACCTACCTATGTTCAGATTTAAATCTAACGTTATAAAAGAGTAAATACAAATTGAATGGTGGTAGGTGAGAATTTTCGAATTGAAATTTTGGGGTAAACAAAAGGTCAAATTTAAGAAACTAAAACGACACTAAACAAAAAAAAATCACCAAACATTTTACTAAAACCATGCAAATTTTACACATAAAAAAAGGAAAAAGAAAATTTGTCGGAAATATCACCAAATCTGAGCTTTTTGGGCAACGAGACAAGAAGAACCCATTTCCCAAAAGCGTGAGCTTTCTCAAGAAACATAAAGACATAAAAAAATATTCAATGAGTAAAAAAATGTGAACCTTTAAGCAAAAAAAAAAAAAGACATTTTTTGTAACAAATCTAAAATCATAGAAAAAACAACAAAAACTAGGGAAAAAACATGATTAATTATTACTTAGCTAAAATCTACTTAATTTAATTATAGTTATGGATAAAACTGTCTATACAAATCCTAATAAGCATTAAAAACATAAACATTAACAAGAACTTCTCAATAATTATAATTGCTAAATACGAAACGACGACGTATTAGGAGTTATGAACATCTGAGAAAGAGAAAGAGAGAGAGAGACCCCATGAGATTGACTCGGAGATTGACTTTGAGTTGAACAAAGAGATCGAAGAGTTGTCCCAAATCTGCAGCATTTCCATGTGAGTAGAGAAGTGTGAGTCTTGCGTTAGGGTTTCTCAGGTAAAAAGCTGTGACTTTGTTGCCGCGTCTTGTTTTCACTACTTTTACGTCGAGAGATGGGTCTCCGGCGGAGGGAAAAGTTGAGGAGGAGGAGGAAGCGGAGGAGACGGCGGAGAGTTTGCCGTCGGGTGTTTTGGTGAGGTGGTAAGTGGGAGGAGAAGGTGGGAAGAAGGCGAATTTGGCGGCGAGGTGAGAGAACATGCACCCCATATTAGGTAAGTTAGTTACGGCGGAGAATACAAAGCTGTGTGCATCAGTCCGCCGCTAGAGAGAGGGAGACAGAGGAGGAGGGAGAAGGGTACAGAGAGACTGAAGAGGAACAGAGAGATATGAAATAAAAAAGAGTAAAGAAATGAAAATGAAAATACTACAAGAGGAAGATTAACGGAGAGATTAAAGAGAAGCAGAGAGAGAGAGAGATTGGCCACTGGTTATGTGAGAAAGAGAGAGTACAGAGGAGGAGGAAGAAGAAGAGAGAGAAGAGTGTGTGTGTGTGTGTGTGAGGAAGCGTGTGAGAGTGAACGTGCGTTTCCTAGGTAATTGGTTAGTGCTCTGTCTTTACTGTTTCTTCTTCGTTATTTCTTTTTTTTTTACTAGTATTTGTTAGTAGTACTTATGTTCATTAATTTTTTCATGTTACAATGAGTATTTGTTAAGTTTGCTAATTGTAAATATTTAGGGATTTATATATGGAGCAAAACGTAGCAATATGGACTTATTACTTTTTAGAAATCAGATTGAACATTTTAACTATTTGCAAAGTTTAGAGATCGCCAGTTCAAGTGATGTTTGGGACGAAACTAATATTACATGCTATAGTTTTAAATGTGGAGGATTATGAGATTTGGTCCAGAATCTTTTAGTATTAAAAAAAAAAATTATCTTTTCTTGGTAACACTTTTTAACTTATTTTCTTGCAAATTTTTTGTTGAACTTTTTTCATAGAGATGTCAAGTGGACCGATAGTCCACGGCTTTGTCCAAGTAGCCCACGTCAGGGCGGGCTTGCATATCATTTTTCATATCCATAAAATAGCGGGCTTCGCGGACAAGCCCAGACGGATTGCGGGTTTTTGCGGATTTTGTCCGCGGATTTGCTGGTTTAGAGACATAGTATTAAGCGCGAAAAATAGAGGTTAAATTTTTTCCAAAACATTTATAAATGATGTTTGCATGAAAGATAATGATGTATTTTTTTTTTTAACATTATGACTACTCTAATCTAATTTCGAAAAATATGTTAATGTCTCTCCTTTCTTTTGTGTTGAAATGTACTCCCTCTGTTCCTAAAAGATTGATTTTCTAGATATTTTACATATTTTAAGAAACAATCATTGATTAATTATTTATTTTTATTAAACATTTTTTAATAAACTATGAACCAATAGTAATCTAAAACAGTTAATCATTACGTCTTAAAATCTACTCTCTCTGTTCCTTAAAGTTTGATGTTTTAGTGTTTTAGGTTTGTTCCACAAAGATTGATTTTCTAGCTTTTTATTTTATTTTTTATTAATTGTTTTTAACAAATCGTAGATTTCAAGACGTAATGATTACAAATAATTAACTGTTTTAGATTACTATTGGTTCATAGATTATTAAAAAAATTAATTAAAAGAAAAAATTATCAAATGATTAAATCGTGATTGTTTCTTAATATATGTAAACTCTAAAACATCAAACTTTCAGGAACAAAGGGAGTACGATTTGTTAATATCAATTAATTAAAATAAAGAAAAAATATAGAAAATCAATCTTTGTGAAACAAACTCAAAACATTAGAACATCAAACTTGTAGGAACAAAGAGAGTAAAATTTATTGGCCAACAACAAAATATATATATTATATACTCTCTCCGTTCTTTTATAAGTGATGTTTTAAGCTTCTAATTTTGTTCTTAAATAGATGATATTTTCAATTTTTAATGTAAAATTAATTACGTTTTTATTGGTTTTGACAATTTATATTCTGTAGATTATTTTTTAATTGGTTAATTAGATAATAAATTATGTTTTAATTTAGAAATAAACAAAAATTAAATTATTTTTTAATCTATGTGCATTTTTCTAAAATATCACTTATAAAAGAACAAGGGAGTATATATAAAATAAAATCAACAAAGATGAAAAAACAAATTAGAGAATTCCGAACAAACTATAACAGTGGGAACGAAGCATCGGCATGTGTCTTAGAACTAAAACATTGGGAAATCTGTAATTGCCGAATTTTTTTTTTTTTTTTTTTGCTAAGAATATAAATATTTCATAAAATGAAAAATTTAAGGAGTTACATGAAGTAGATCCTATAGTTTGGTCCCATGGCAAAAAAGGATAAAAAACATGGAAGCAAAATCAATCAGTCCATTGACATCAACAAAAGCAGTGACGCTTTCGGAATCAATGAAACGATAAAACGATCCTGAAGTATTCTAAATGATGACACCTCAAGGGAGAAACATCGTGTTGTCAAACGGCGAAGATTGAATCAAAGATAACTAAAACGAAAGGAAGCCTTTCACTGGTGGCCCAAGAACCTGAGCCGTCAACGGCGTTGAAACAAAGAGCAAAACAAACACCGACTCCACCCGCGTAATTGCCGAATTGGTAATATGATATCTAGAACATCAATGATCGACTACTTTTAAAACTTATGTTATGTATATATCGTGAATTTTGAGTTTGATATAAACATACAGAGTGTGACAGACCCACATTTTTTAATGTTATTTGATAAGAAGCATGTAACGGGACCTTTCATTGTTCACCTATCGTCCAGACACATGCAATAATTGCATGTTTTTCTGTCTTTGAGTATAATATAAAGAGAAAATGAGAAATCAATCAATAGAAGAAACGTTTAAACAAGAGATATCCAAAAAAATAAAAAATAAAAAAATACATTCAAATATTATAATATATATATGTATATATGTGTAATTTGGTGAAAGCCACAAATCTATATATAATAGCAATCTAATAAATACCATTTGCACATCTGAACGGTTACGTCTTTTTATCGCAACTTTTCGTTTAAATCGGTTATTTTTTTACAGTTATTTTGGTTGCATCTTTTTATCGCAATTTTCGGTTTAATCGGTTATTTTTTTTACGGTTATGTCGTTTCTAATAAATACCATTTGCACATCTGAACGGTTGCGTCTTTTTATTGCAACCTTTCGTTTAAATATTTATGGTTGTTTTTCTTACAGTTATTTTTGTACGGTCATGTTGTTTAGTTGAATTTCTTCTTACGTAAACCAATAAACTACATATAAAATTGGTTTTATTTCATAGTTTACATATGGATATATTTAATAGTATAACCTCCTTAATTATATCATTCATTTAACATTTACGTGATATCACGGGAAAACAAATATAATAGCAATCTCAATAAATGTCATTTGCAAATTTCAACGGTTGCGTATTTTTATCATAACTTTTTTTAAAAATATTAGCGGTTATTTTTTCGGTTGTGTTTTTTATCGCAACTCTTCGTTAAAAAGATTGACAGTTACTTTTTTTTTTTACGGTTATTTTTCAGTTGTGTCTTTTTTATCGCAACTTTCCGATAAATATTGGCGGTTACTTTTTTCGTTTCTGTCTTTTATCGCAATTTTCCGTTAAAATATTGATCGTTATTTTTTCTCAGTTGTGTCTTTTTATCGTAACTTTCCGTTAAAATATTAACGGTTATTTTTTCTCAGTTGTGTCTTTTTATTGCAACTCTTCGCTAAAATATGGACGGTTATTTTTTTCGTTGACGGATATTTTTTAGGTTGTGTCTTTTTATCCTTTCTGTTAAAATATTGATTGTTACTTTTTTCGTTTGTGTATTTTATCTCAACTTTCGGTAAAAATATCCACGGTTATTTTTTTCTCGGCCATGTCTTTTTATCGCAACTATCTGTTAAAATATTGACAGCTATTTTTTCTCGGTTGTATCTTTCATCGCAACTCTTCGTTAAAATATTGACGGTTATTTTTTCTCGGTTGAGTCTTTTTATCGAAACTCTTTGTTAAAATATTGACGGTTACTTTTTACGTTGACGAATACTTTTTCAGTTGTGTCTTTTTATCTTCACTTTCCGTTAAAATATTGACCGTTATTTTTGCGGTTGTGTTTTTTATCGCAACACTTCGTTAAAATATTGACGGTTACTTTTTTTTGTTGATGGTTATTTTTTTGTGGTGTTTTTTTTTAAACGCAACTTTTCGATAAAATATTGGCGGTTATTTTTTCTCGATTGTGTCTTTATATCGCAACTCTTCGTGAAAATATTGAAGGTTATTTTTTTCGTTGACGGTTATTTTTCAGTTATGTCTTTTTATCGCAACTTTCCGTTAAAAAAGTAACGGTTATTTTTTATGTTTTGGTTTTTTATCGCAATTTTTCGTTAAAATATTGATAGTTAATTTTTCGTTGACGGTTATTTTTTCGGTTGTATCTTTTTTATCGCAACTTTCTTTTAAAATATTGACGGTTATTTTTTCTCGGATGTGTCTTTTTATCGCAATTCTTTGTTAAAATATTGACGGTTATATTTTTTATTGATGGTTATTTTTTTTTGTCTTTTTATCGCAACTTTCCGTTAAAATATTAACGGTTATTTTTTCGTCTGTGTTTTTTTTTATCTCAAATTTCCGTTAAAATATTTAGAGTTATTTTTTGGGGATAGTTCTATTTGTTCAATTATAGTCGTATTTTTTCAGTTTACGGTTGTGTCTTTATAGTTGCATCTATTCATTTAAATAAGTCTGTTCACTATATTTCATTGTATTTTTTCATCACAACTTTTTGTATGAATAGTTGTCTATTAAAATTTTCATGACTTTTGAACTCTATATATTTTTCCTTCTTCCTAAGTAGTTCCCGAATTTTTTATCTTTAACATAGATTATTTATTTTATGATGAATCAAAAAAAAATAATCTGTAAAATGGCTCCAAATTCTTTATTCTCTAAACTATTTCTAAACATACATCATTTAATATTAAAGAAATTATTCACATTCTTGATCTAACTTAAGTTTTTTCGGAATGATTATAAAAATGGAGAAGTTTTAATCAACTTTACATATAATATTTTAATGAAGTAACAACAATTGGACGGATTATCTAGTGAATTTTTTTATCTAACTATTTTATATAGTAACAATGATGCTTTCTATTTTAAGGCAATATATATGAGTTATATACAAAAAAATATTGATGTTGCATTAACACTATTACAAAGTCCGAATATGAGAAGACATGCTCATATGAAGCTTGTGATTGGGTGTTTTAAATTTGGTAAGCGTTAAATGAACTGTTTCAAATGGTTTGGTAATCCAGAAATCTTTTACATTATTAGGAAAAAAAAAATGCTTCCAATTCGTCAAATGTTATTCAAGGAAGAAGTTTTTTAGTCAGTTAATTTATCAATATAAA